CATTTAGAAATGTTTACCTTTCCATTGCTTAAACATTTCAGCATTGTCTGCTAGTGAGTGTAATGTGTGTCCAAAGACTGCATGCCAGCTCTAGTCAACTCCTTACGCTTACAGGGAGCCATCTGAAGGGTAAAATCCTGAGGGCTGAATTCCATCTGATATTCTAAGAAATGAAGCAGAGCTCAAAATATGGGGCTAGGGCTTATGCTGCTAACAGTAATTAGAGCTACCAAAAGCTGCTGAGTTGCATGGACAGGACTAATAACGTGGTGATTCCTGACTCTATTACTGAGAAGTCTTCATCCCTTTTCTGTTTCTGGGTATCAGTCCTTTCTTTTTCTTTCAATCACCAACAGCAGCTACCAGCAGGGAAAGGCCAGACCTCTTTGCTCACTCCTCCACTCCAGCTTTGAGGAGAGATATCCTGATTTTGTCTGGGTTAATTTTATTAATAAGAGCAGGTATGGTGCTGTGTTTTGGATTTTTGATGAAAACAGCGTCGGTAACACATCAAGTTCTAATTGTTGTCAAGAAATTCTCACATTGCCTGCCAGCAAGGCGGCTGGGTGTGCACGAGGAGCTGGGAGAGGACAGATCCAAGACAGCTGACTAAAACAGGCCAAAGGGAAATTCCACACCTTATGATATCCTGCAGAAAAATAAAACTCGGGGGTGGGGGAGCTGGCCACGAGGGCTGCCAGCTTTCAGCCCTGAGAATAACCACGACGGACACACAGCAACACCACACAGCTCCCGCCAGCGGGGCACAGCGCCACCCCCGCGCATGCGTCCTGTCGCCACCCTCCTCCGGGCTCACTCCATTCCTCTTCTCAGCGGGGATGTGCATCTGTACAAACGTAAGTTTACCCACCTTTTCCCACGTCGCATTTCGTTAAATTGTAATTATTATTACCTCAAATAGTGATATGGATTATTTGATGATTCTTAGTTGCATTGAAATAAAGGGCGAAAAGCTCTCTGACTTTTCGTCCATCCCCCTCCCTCCGTGCGAATGGTTCAGCCCATCCCGTAGCCTTCCCTGCTCCGGAAGGGGCGTGGCCGCGCCGGGGTCATTGCGGGCTTCGGGCACGCGCCGCCGCTGTTGGCTGAGCGGGGCGTGCGCGGGCGGTTTCACCTCAGCGCCGCTCGCCTCAGCACGGCCCCGCCATGCCGCCGCCCGGGCAGACGCAGCTCCCGGACTGGGACGGCCTGAAGCTCCGCGTGCGGACCCTGATCGCCACGCATCGCGTCATGATCTTCAGCAAGAGCTACTGCCCCTACTGCCACCGGGTGAGGGAGCGCCGCGGGGCCTCACTTCTCCTGGGCCCTACGCAGCCTCTTCCCTTCCTCGCAGGCTGGAGCAGGCCTGTGGTGCGGCCCCCGGGCGAGGCGGGAAGCTCCGGCCTGGGCAGCGCATGTGGAAGAGGGCGAGAGACCTTGCGGGCACTACGCCGCGCTCTGCCGTGCCGCGTCCTTCCCGCCTATTGGAGCCCACAGCGTTGAAGTGATGCGAGGTCCCAGCTGGGTCATCGGCGATTTTTTGTTTTTTGGTTTTTTTTTTCCCTCTTCTAGAGCAGATGAGTGAGTGGGAAGCGCTGCATGGTGCTTTTTGCTTTTTTCCCTCTGCTGGGCTGTTAGCTGGAGGTCGGGGTGCTGGCTGCGTTCAACTTGAGCAAAGCTGCTGCTCAGAGGATAGGCTGAGCTTTCTGCTAGTTTTGAAATTGGAGGGAGAAGGCTGACTGTTGCAAGAGAGTAAGTTCTAAATTCCAGCCACAGTGTATGTTTTACCAAAGAAAAGCTCCTAGTGATGAGTTGTGATGATTAGAAGGAACAGAAATCTTTCTAGCCCTGTTATGTGTGAATCACACATAGCTGTAACTGGTAAGCAAAAGTTGTTAAAGAAAAGCAGGGTCTTCATTAGAATCTTATAATACCATCAGGCTTCACTTATACCTCTCACAGAATCACGGTGTTTGTGGGTACTGAATCATGAATATTTGCAAACACTGTGTAATGAGATATTTAAACCTAATAGTACTGTGCCTGATGTGGATGTAGCGAGGAAAAAATGTGAAAGGAGGTGTGGGATTGAGTTCTGATGGTCTTCAGTGGAGCGGACAACCAGGAAAAGGACTCAAAAGCTGCACTCGTGTGTGTAGTTCGGGCTTAGTCACAGCAGCTCTTGTGAGGGAGGCTATGTTGTGAGCCTACTGTTGGAGTATATACTGAGTATATTCTGCCTCAACTTGCAACTTAGTCGAGGTTTTGGGAAGGGAAGTTTCTGTGTATAAAACAACAGGGCAAACATCAGTTTCTTCTCACCAAGAGTGTTTTGGCAGAAAGTTAGCATAGTAAGCAGCTGTCCTTTAATGAAACTTGTTTATCTTATCAGTGGAAGTTTGAGAAAATGATTTAATGGTTGGCTGGTTATCTTGCGTAAGTGCAGTCCATCTGGCTGAAACGGTATCTTCTTTTGAGGGGATCTGCTTGTTGATGACTTCAGTGCTGTTCTTTGAGAAGTACTTAAAGTTGTCCCTGACTGTATTATTCTTTGTGCTTTCAGTGGTCCTGACCAGTCAACTTTTGGCATGCATGGTGCTCAGTCCAGTGCTTTTTGAGTCATAAGATGGCACAGTAGCTTCTCAAACCTTGGAACTTATTCATTCATCTCTTTGGCATTGCACTGGGACTTGACTAACACAAGGAGCTAATGAGAAAAATAGGCTTATTGCAGTCCAGTAATTAAATTCCAGATTAATGTCCTTTCCTGCATTTGTATGAAATTTCTCCATCAGACAGCATTAATTGCTTCTGGGAAACAGTCAGATCTGGGGAATACTGTCTTTAGTGCCACAAGGCAGGGAACATGCATCTGGAATAGGGGGAGGCCTCTCTCGTGGCCCTTCCTAGGCAGGAGAGTTAAAAGACTTTATGAATGTTAAGTAACAGGTGGTAAATTTGGAGGGGCAGGATGTGAAGCAGAAAAGAGCTGATGGTGAGTTTCTTTGGTTTATGTTCTTTTTTTGAACTGGAGAGAAAGATAGTATGGTGAAGGAAGCCAGTAGAAATTGTTTGCATTGTGGAGGGATGATTAGAGGAAAGCTTGTGGAGGGAGAAGCCACATGAGACATCATTTGGTAAAAGAAAGAAATATCTGCAATAATATGAGTATTATCATCTCCTCCCTATGAAGACTTATAAAATAGTGAAAGGAACAAGAGAACAAAGGATGATGCAGTGTTCTAATCTAGTCTGTACAGTTAATGAAGTGGATATAATTTGGAAGAGTTGTTACAGCTTGGGTATTTAGCCTATAATCACGTAGTTTCAAATTCATAAAGAGAGAGATATTAGTACTATGCAATGCATCTCACCACGGATGGCTGTTAGCAGTGTGTTTTGGTAACATTAATTGAAACAGTGTTGATGTTTATTGCTAGGTCACAGTGCATTCATATTCTAAAAGATACATGGGAAGAATTCTTTGTTTCAAACACTCCCAATCCTGGGGCATTCAAGGCAAGCATGAATGGGGCCCTGGGCAACCTGAGCTCCTTGGTGGCAACCCTGCCTATGGTGGGGGTTGGAACCAGATGGGCTGTGAGGTCCTTTCCAACCCAAACCATTGTATGATTATTTGTTTCAAATGGAAGTAGCCACGCTGGAATTTTAAGATTATACTTTCCTTAAGATCTGCAAATAACTCTCTAAATGAATGAATTAGGTAGCTGTGTTTGATTGGCATAGCTAGCAGCATGACCAGGCAGTTATGCAGTTTTCTGCAAGTGCGATTCATTGTTCAGTTAAGTCAGGCAGTGGTGGGAAGGGGTGATGTTAGAATGACTTCCTCATCATAACTGAATCTGACCGCTCATTAACTTCTTACCTCTCTCGTAAGACTAATGCTAAGTAAGATGTATAAAGAAAACAAAGGGGTTTTTTAGTGTGAGAAATTTCTGGATCTGAACACTGTGATACATTAGAAATTATTTTAAGAGTAGCCAATGTAGCTGTATAAAAACTGCCAGTTATTCCAGGTACGTGTTGTTCTATTACTAAAGGTCATCCAAATCCACAGGAGCATCAGTCAGTTTGGCTATAGCTATTAAATACTAGTTGATATTTGAAATGGCAGACATGCAACTTACCATGTTGCTTGAGTTTACTGCATGTGAGACTTAGCTCCCCTAACGACAAAAAGCATCTCCAGGACGAATTCTCTTGAGTGCCAGACCAATTTCTAAGCTTTGTGCAATCTATTTCCATATTTAGTGCTACGTAAAAAATTTTCTGGAGTCTTTTTTTTGGAAACCTGAGAAGGCTTTGTATTTTGCAACTTCAGTTGTGCTGCTTGGTCTGGAGAATCCTTAGTGTTTACCAGAAATCATTTCCTGTGTGCTTTCTCTAGACTACTCATGATCGCTGTTACTTTTCTATTCTTCCTCTTATTTTCTTTTCCAAAGCAAGATCTAGTCTCTCCTGCATGTACTGAAGGTTTCATAACTTTGGGCATATAGTTGTCACTCTTGTTTCTGCTTCATCACCACTAACACATGCGTAATCTATTCATATCATCTATAATCACTGCTTCTAATTAGGATCCTGATATTTGTCTGGTTCTTTTTCTCTACTCTGTATCTTCAGTAGAGAATAAACATCACCTAAAGGCACTGCTTTAAATTTGTCTTTTCTTGTGTAATCCTTTCTTGTTCTAAAACTGTCCTCTGTCCTGTCCTCCCCCTGCTGTCTGTTGTTTCACTGTTTGAGATGCATTTTTTTGTATGTATTTTTTTAAAGCCACTGATGAAAACTTGCCTTTTGTGTCCTGCTGTTCTGCTGCAGAGTAAAACAGCAGCCAAGTGGAAAATTTGTGACTTCCCTGCAGAATCGTAGTGTGCCACTTTGTAGCAGCAATCTTCTTTGAGCTTTGCTTTTTTAGATTTTTTTTTTTGCTTTTTTAGATTTTGTGGCATTCAGCTTGGGCTTATAACAGCAATTGCAGGATTGCAGGGCAGGAGCAGTTTTGCTGCTGTTTCCCACTCATTCAGCCCATAGCTGTGGTCACTCCAGTAAGTAAGCAAGCCTTAGAGTGGCATGAGTTTGTAAGGAAAGTTTTTAGGTCTGTGTAGATGGTTTCAGAGATCTGGGACACAGGATGTCTTAGGAAGAGATTGGTTTGTTCAGCCTTAAGAGGAAGATAGGAGGGATTATATTTTAATCGTCCACTTGATACCTGATAGGCAGAACAGCCACACTCCTCTCAGTTTTAGAGTGAAAGAACAGAGGGCAACATGCACACTGTTAAACAAGAGATATTGCAATGAGATGAAAGGGAAATTCTTCCCTGGGGGTGGTCAGACATGGGAGCAGCCCAGAGACTTGTGTCATCTGTCCTTGTTGGTTCTGAATACCTACATGGACAGTACTTTGCCCAAGGTGACCCAGCTTCATGTCTGCTCCTGTTTGAGCAGGCAGCTGCACCTGGTGACCTCTGGAAAAGTCCACTCCAACTTCCTTTATTTTGTAGGTGTAAAATTAATGCTGTCATCTATACAAGCAGGGTTTGTTTTAGTATGTTATTGTTTCAATATGACGTAAGGAAACTTGTATCATTAATACATAATATAAAAGGTTTATTTCTGTCTTAATAAAGTTGAAGCCATTAGAAAGTAGAGGGCAGTGAAATACTTGGTGCTTGGCACAGTGACCGCATGGATCACAGTGACACGAAAGGCTTTTATCACATTTAACATTTTAAAGCATCTTAAATGTGATTCAACTTACTCTGAGTGTTGTCAGTAAGTGTGAGTTTCATCAGAAAGCTGGTTGTTGAAGTATTTTTATTTTCTTTCTTGAATCAACAACAAAGCACACAGAGCTGCCATTGAGAATCCAGGCTGGCAAGGAGCATGCAGAAATTTAGCTACAGCTTCTTGCTAGAGCTGTTCTTGTATCAAGACAGTTAGGATGAAAAGCAGATATTTCACCCGATGCCTTACAACATCTCTTTGCCAGAGGTAAGTCGGCCAAGATATATTTTGGGAGTAAATATGCCAGCTTTAACATTACCTTGTTATGAAGTATGTCCTTGTCAAACTGTGAGAGCAGTTCACACAATTTCAGTTTTGCTGATTTTACAAATAGATGTTGCAAATAAAAAAATCTAATTTCTAAATGGCTGCTTGATTTGAATCTAGTAGTTGTGCTCTGCTCTGTCCATTCAAAGCTAGTATTAGAAGAGGAAGTTTCCTCCCCATGGAGGAAAGAAATAGCTCAAGTTGTCGTGTAGGGTGGCTTTTTCCTTTTCAAGGCTCTCATAGAGGTGATTGATTGTTTCCATGCTGGCTCCTGGATGCCTGAAACATTTAAGATATGAATGATTTAAATGGGGGAACAAAAATAAAAGGCGTATATGTTAGAACTGCTCCTGTCTGATCCTGGAGGCTGGGGCAGATGTTAAACCAGAAACCCGAAATCAGAACTAGAAAAAAATTCCAGTCTTGTCCCAAGCCTCAGAGTAGAAGACAAGATAGTTCAAGCACATCTGATGTGCTCTTTGAAGTCGCTCACTGATCTGGATTGTTTTCCACCTGGGCAACGTGTTTCAGTGTCTTGCTGTCAGGAAAACCTTTTCCTGCAGTCTAATAATCTCTTGAAGCAGTTCAGTCCCGTCCACCACTACTTTCCTTCTTCATTACGGCAGTCGGTTAATTATTTAAACACAGCTGTTTTTCCACATCTTTTCTTTAAGTTAAACTCATTGACTGCTTAGAATAATTGTTCTCCACTTGTTCTAAATCTTTTCTGTAATGCAGTGACCAAAACTGCAAGACTGAATACAGGGCTGGTAGGCTTGAGCTGCCTTTGCTCTGTATGCTTAGGGATTACTCTTGTGGCTTTTTATAATGGCTTTTTTGCCTAACAGTGTTTGTTTTGCAAGTTATCTTTAATCCCCATTCTTTCTTTCCTTAGTACTTGGGAAGTCTGACTGCTGCATTATTTTTCTTCATGATATTTTTCTACATAGCAATTACTGTCATTGTTTTTGCCTGTTCAGGGGATGTTGAGATCTGCAGCTAAGCCAACTGTATAAAGAAGTTGTCTCTTAAGATCTGTTGAACTTGCAGTAGGAGATTATCTGTGGCATACTTTGTTTGAATGCTGTTAAATAGCCTGACTTTAAATGAGGACTGTGCAAAATGTAGAATTAGTGACAAACTTTATGAAAGATATCTATGGCTATACCCTCAAAGAATTATAATCGAGTCTTAAGTCCTTATGCATTTGTATAATTGAGAATTAAAAGGATGCATTTACCCTGAACTGTGCGTTGGACCTTGTGGAAGGTTTGCCTTGGCAGTCTGCCTGGGTACAAAAACATTGTGTCCTTTTCTGTTACAGGTGAAAGAACTCTTCAGCTCGCTAGGTGTACAGTACTATGCTTTGGAACTGGATGTAACTGGTAAGTGGCAGAAAGAAAGTGTATCAGGTATTGCTTAATGTAACTAAAACTGGGTGGATGTGCATGGCTTTAAGCTGTCTTGAACTAACGGTAAGTCTTAAGGAATCGTGGAAAGGACTCGTGAGGATCGTTGAGTCTCAACTTTAAGTGTACAGAGATGAAAAGGTAGTTGGGATTCATTGTGGATTTTAGTGTGGGGGATACATTTTTAATTTCACTGAAGGTCCTCTTTCCTCTTTCAGTACAAGCCACCTAATAACTGTATGTGCAGAGGATGTGAGATCTGGTTTCTCCTTTGGGAGTCTCATCTTTCAGGAAGAAGCCTTTGGTAGTTTTCTCTTACCTCTGTTATGGCTTTTAGATGAATTGTTAATGTTTGATGTGGTGTAACAGTGACATTCAGAGGGAAAGCTGCTGAGTCATTGGTAAGAGTGTGAATTCCACAGTCTTGACTGTTTTCCATTTGAGTTTTTTCTAAAGCCTTTATTTCCACCACTCCTGCAGCATGTTATACTTGTGTATGTAATGCATGTAGTTTTAAGAACAAAGTTTCTAAAATAATACTGAGTTCTTCATCACACCATTAGTAAGCTGTTGATTATGGATCATCACCCATATGATTTTATATTTTATTTTTCCTATGCATAGAAATAAAACGTAGTTTCTAATCCTTTCTTTTCAAGTGTGTTTAAGCAGTATTTGAGGGGAAAAATGTGTTAGTAATCCAAGTACCTCTTCTGACTTATCTCAACTTTCATTAATTAAAAAGTAAAAAAATACTATAAACTAGGCATGGCCCTGTATATACACAATACAGCTCTCTGATTGATTGATTTCCTGAAATTACTTGTAATTAAGAAAATGTTTCTTTTGCAGTTATTTCAATCACTGATTGTAAATAAATCTTGGAGTATAGAGATTTCTAACCAGTGATTACTGTAAAACCTTCCCACATTTACTACTGTACAACTATTGAGAGCTCTAAACTGAGGCTGCCTATTGGTGCTGGTGATTCAGATGTCAGGTCAGGCAATGATAATCTTAAAACAGGAAGATTTCAAGCAGTGTGGCAGATAGAAAAAGCTTGAAGATGCTGTGAACATGACCACGTTTATTCTTCTGATCTCCAAATTCTTGTAATTACAAAGCTGCTGGGCAAAACTGTGTGCACTTAAGTGGAACAGAACTCCAAAACCAGACAATTCTACTGGGGAAAAAAAGCTGTCTGTATGATTTCTTGTTTTATCTAATATATGTGTGTGTGTGTGTGTATATATATAAATATACACATAGCTAAATTGTATTTAATTCTTTGCATCTATTATGAGTTTTTAGTAATATTTAGACTAATACAAAAAATAATGTGTAAGTATATGTAGAAAGATAAATATATTTAAAATTTAAGTGTGGCACCAAATGTTATACTGCCAGAATGGGATTCTGGAAAGAATCCAGAAAACATGGGGCTAAACTTGATTACTTCAACTACTTCAGCCTGAAGATCTTTGACTTGAAGTACCTGTTTATCCTCCATATTTTAGCCAGCCTTTTCACAAACTATTTTGTGTCGAGTCTGTGTAGAAATGTGATGCCCAGGAAATAATGGTTTTCTTGACAGGCCTATGTATGTTGCAGTCTACACCTTTAAAATGTCAGCTTGTATAAAAAGCCCCTTCTTGAAAGTAATTGTTTAATGTACCTTTTTCATTTGTTTTTAGATGATGGGCCCAGTATTCAGCAAGTGTTAGTGGAGCTAACTAATCAGAGGACTGTGCCTAATGTTTTTGTCAATGGAAAACACATAGGTGGCTGTGATGCAACTTACAAGGTAACTTCCTTTAAAAATAACTAGGACTAGACAAGAGTGGGGGTGATGTTAGGTGATGTCCTTCTGCTGTCTAGCTTGTTGGTGAATTAACTTAGGCTCTGCGTTTCTGTTACAAATATGCAAGTGTGCATTTTCTTGAATTTGTCTGCAGACAAACTCTTAGAAAGTTTGTGCAGCACTCAATCTAAGCTGTAGGACTGAGGAAATAGGCCATCAAATATCTTTAACTTGTGCGTTCTGTGGCCTGAAGTCTGTTGTGTAAATGAAACACAAACATGTTTGAGTCTTTTCCAGGATCATAAACTTAACAATTGCAGCATTTTTGGGGATCCCCTTTTCAGAGCAGACTTAGCTAGATCAAATTGCTTGGAGTCCTTGGCCATACATATAAAAATCCAGAACAGCTGTGTTTTCTGCTATAATATTGAAGGGGAAGTAATTAGACTGAGTGGTCTAGGTCAGAAAAGGCATTGTATTTCAATTTTTGCTTAAAATCAAGTCACCACATGTTTCTACAGGCTTATGAGAATGGAACACTGCAAAAACTTCTTGGTAATGTCAAAGATGCAGAGACCTATGATTATGACCTCATTATTATTGGTGGTGGCTCAGGCGGACTCGCTTGTTCCAAGGTATGACATGAACAAGTTGTGTATGAAACTTGGTCAAAAAATAAGTTTCCTTATTAATCACGGTAGAATAAAACAGTATATATGATGATGATTAATAGTGTTAGTCTTGTTAATGAATCAGTAGCAGTACTGGTAGTTTGCTCATTCAAAGAATGACAGCCTGTATGGACCACTTCCTAGAGAATGACTAAACTCAAGTCTTGATCTAATAATAGGTTTTAGGCTCCTAGCTGAGAGTGGAACTTTAAGTATCTCCTCTTTATGTGCATTGTACAGGCGATTGAATGCTTCCAAACAGTAATCTGGAAAACTTGCAGACTGTTCTTGAAGTACTTCTGCATATTAGGATCCAGGACTACCAGTAATCTAAAATAAAGTGTTTTCAACTGTTACCTGAATGACCTGTTTCACGCTTCATTATTCCTTCTAGCTCCTTTTTCAGAAATAGTAACAGATTATGCACCTCTTTCACAGTTAGCTGTTATTCAGAGTGCCACTAGGCCTGAGATGTAGGTTCAGTTTTCGACATGAGGAATTTGAACCCATGTTTCCAACTTCTCAGTTAGCCATCTTAGCTGTCAATTTTTGGTTTGGACATGGTGAGGTTGCTCTTGGTAACCTTGCTGACTTCTATACAACAATACAGTTAAGCATGCAGCTATAACTAGATCAACATAAGAAAGGTAGAAAAGGAGATACGACATTGTACTTTATTCTAATTTGTGGGAGAAGGTGTGAGTTCTTCCTCCAGAATTGTGTGTATATCGTAATAGTCAGTCACAGGTGGTTGATGTGGCTTTGGTGTCCTTGCACTGAAGAGGGCTTCTGAAAGGCTCTCTTATTTCCTGTCGTTACAGTATAATAAGCTGTTAAACATAAATCTCCCTCCACTTTGCCCCACAACTCCTTCAGTTGGCTAGTCGTTTTCAGAATGCTAGAAATCTTCCCTCGGTGCCTTCTGGGACATGAACGATAAACTTGGTGGTAATTACCAACTTGTTCAGAGTGGAAGAGTTCAGTTATTTGAAAAATAGGACATAAGTGGGTAACTCTAAACTTGTTTGATCGAGAATCACAGCAATTGTATGCAGAAGCTCTTAAACAGATTGGATCAAAGCTTTAGGTGCCCTTAAAAAAAAATCTGATATTGAGTAGATTCACTCAAGTGCTTGGTCGTCCTGTGGATATAGGGCTATTCAGTTTGAAATGGAAATTAGGTGGATATCTAATCAAAGCTCTGGCTTCAAGCAGGGTGAGCTAAGGTTATGCAGGGCCTTATTTGGGTCTTGAAAATGTTCAAAATCTTGGGGCACCAGTGTGTCTGGGAATCCTACTTTCCTGCTTGACCGTCTTCATGGAATTAAGTTTGTTCTTCGTACTCCTATTTCAACGTAGGGACTTGGTCTTTTATCCTTCTACCACTTGCCACTGCAGCGAGCATGGCTCCAGTACTGTAACTCCTGGCACTGGAAGGTTGTTATCTACCCCCATAACCTTTTCTTCAGACTGAAGAAGCCCAAGTTTCCTATTATTCTTATAGGACATGAATGTTTGATAGTAGAGAAGGTAGAAAAGGTACACATGGTAATGAGACTGACTAGCAAAAGAGCCTTTTATTTGTGCTAAGCATATCATCAGTGCAAACAAGCGGTCATGTTTCTTCGTTAAGGAAATGTTTGTTAATGCTGGTTTATCTTCCTTTTTTTTTTTTTTTTTTTTTTTTTATACAGGAAGCTGCTACCTTGGGAAAGAAAGTGATGGTATTAGATTATGTTGTGCCAACGCCCCTGGGAACCACCTGGGGTAAATACAGTGTTTGAGTACCAGTGAGAAATGTATTGATTTGTAAGATATTGTGGATTTGTATTCTTCAAAATTATGGCAGAATTCTGTAATTCTGAAACATAACAAAGGAGTTGCTTTCCTGACATGCCTGGATGGTTATTTCTGTTTTCTGTATTGCTAGCTCTCTGTTCTTTGTTAAATGTTGTTATAATTCAGTTACAAACTGTGGCCAAATGTGTGTCTGTGTGTGTTCACAATCTTCTGTCTGTTTTTAATACTTCTCAGTTCATCTGCTTTTATTTCATGAATGGCTGATCTAGGTTATGTCTAAAACAGTGTGACTGTATGGGTGTGCATGTATCACCTTTTTATAATTAAACAGCTGCTGTCTGACCTTATTAATGCTATTGGCAATTGAGAAATAGTAAGGAATTTCAATGGTCAGACTGAGTCGAAGTGTGAATGTGCTTTCATAGCCTTAAAGCAAATTCGTATTTCAGATTCCACAGAATAGATAATACTGAACTCTGGGTTTTTTTGTCACGCTTTCTTGCTGATCCAACTAACTTGCAAAGCACCCTGTAAGTAGCTATCCTGGATCTACATTGAAGACATCATACTAAACCTCTTGGCTGGATGAGTCAAACGACTTCTTAAACGGAATACAAACTTGTAACCTTGGTGTACTCATTTTAAAATGTTTCTAACAGCAGAATTTCATGTTAGTTTTGTTGCATTATCATGAACTGATATATAAGTGACTATGCCAAGCATGTACAGAAGCATGAATATTTTGTTCCTGCAAGCAATAACATGATTCTTCCCGTCTTAGGACTTGGTGGTACATGTGTAAATGTAGGTTGTATTCCCAAGAAGCTAATGCATCAAGCAGCACTTCTGGGGCAGGCACTCAAAGATTCAAGAGCATATGGCTGGCAGTATGAAGAGCAAGGTTAGTAAGAACGTGGGACAGACAGGACTGTATACAGATGACTCTAAGATAGTTATGACAGTTCTATGTACTTCAAACTTAGGTAACTGTTGAACTCTGCTTCTGTTTACCAAGTAAATAAGAACGATTCTTCCTTCTTGATCCTTCTTTCATACATAAAAAAAATCTTTAAGATTAGAAGCTAGTTATTTTGTTCCTGGTATTATCTCAAATAAATAGATGAGCTTCTTGGATGGTCTTATTTCAGATAGTTACAAGTCAGGTAAATATATCACGATGATTTAAGACTCTTATAGACATAATCATTACTAATAATGATGGCTGCTTAACAAGATGTACAATGAATAAGATTTGAGCTTTTAACAGTTCATTTGGTTTCTAAAATATGAAATTAATGGCTTGTTTCAGTTAAACACAATTGGGAGACCATGGTAGAAGCAGTTCAAAACTACATTGGCTCTTTAAACTGGGGCTATCGATTGTCCTTAAGAGAGAAATCTGTGACATACCAAAATGCCTATGGAGAATTTGTTGAGCCACACAAAATTAAGGTATGTGTTTAATGTTTAAAAGATCTTACTTAGTTGAGAGGGAAAATTTGGGCTCTTGAGCTGCCATTTAAATTCCATCTAGGAAAAAAATCTTCATTCTGACATTGCCTACTTCATTCAGCCTAAAAGAAGTTGTTCCTGAAATAAGTTACTGATTCAAATTGATGTTTTGCTTTATTACATGTCACAGTGCAAGTTACTAGATTGGCAAACATAGGAGTAATGTGGATATTGGTTAAACTGAAGTCTTGCATGAATATGGCCAGGTAGTTTCTCTCAGTGGCTGGCTTTGCTGAAGGTGAGCTGTCCAAGCCAAAAAAAAAAAAAAAAAAAGCACAGAAAACCTTCAGCAGTAACAATATAACACTTGGAAACTCTTCGGACTAAGATATGTACTGCATTCTGCACAGACTGCAGAAATTAAATTTGGATTAAGCACTTGCATAATAGTGCTAGATAGAAACATATGCTGCATCAGCATAAGAATTAAACTGTCTTGCAAGACAGAGCATGTGCTGGCAGTCCTGCTATGAGTGGTAGTACTGTAGCAAGGTTAACTCAGAAGAATTGCGTTTTGAACAAAACTATCTGGATCAGTGGCTACAATTGTCTGTTTTCAGTATGAGCTTATGAAGCTAACTGTTTCAGTGTCTGCATATGCAGGTTATCTGCTTAGTAGTGCTCTTTTTCTACAAATAAAGTAGAACAGAAACTTTCAGTAATAGGTTGTACTTGATGAACCTCTGAGATCCCTTCCAACCTATGCTATGTGACAACTTGCTGGGGAGGAAGCTTCTCTTTCTGTATTGGTAAATAAAGAACAAGAATGAAGATTGGATTTCAGAAGAGATGTTGGCAGGATAAAATTCCCTGAGGGCCTTTAGAGATCAAGAAAGTAACTAAATCACTTTAAATTCATTTAAAATATTATTAAAGTATTAGGCCCTCCTAAAGCATTTAAGTAGATTCTATTTTTATTTTTCTAAATTAGCATAAGAAGTGATTGATGTTATTCTGTAATTAGTTGGGCTTTTCTTAGAAGCAAGGGGTGGAAGAGCACCCTTCATTTGCTGTGGGTTTTTATAATTTAAAGTTATCAACTACTCATGTGGATCTAATTGTTCATATGAGCAGAATTCAAGCAGTAAAGGATTTCAGGTGCTGTAACCTACAAGAACAGAGTAATAGTCTATGCTTTAAGCGTGTAGTTCATCAGTGATCTGTATGGCCTGTCTAAATGTTTGAAACTACTTGTATGTATGTTCTGAAATATATCTACAATGTTTAGGTGAAGATTGTTTTTTTTGTTTTTCACTTTATTGTAAAACCTATTCGTATGGTAAAGACTTTTGTGTCTATATAAACAGGCAACGAATAGAAAAGGACAAGTAACCTATCACACAGCAGAGACTTTTGTTCTGGCAACAGGAGAAAGGCCTAGATATCTGGGTATTCCTGGAGATAAAGAATACTGTATTACAAGGTGAGATTAAAAGGCATCACGGGCTGAATTTTCTTTGCTCTAATGCTTGCAAAGACCTGTATTAAAAGAGCCATGTGTCTTCTTTTCTTTTTAGTGATGACCTCTTCTCCCTGCCTTACTGCCCTGGCAGAACACTAGTTGTGGGTGCTTCCTATGTGGCACTGGAGTGTGCAGGATTTCTTGCTGGTTTAGGTCTTGATGTCACAGTCATGGTGCGTTCCATACTCCTTCGAGGCTTTGACCAAGAGATGGCAGAAAAAATAGGTGCCCACATGGAAACGCATGGTGTAACATTCATAAGAAAGTTTGTACCTACTCAGGCAAGTGCTTTCTTAGCTTCCTTCTCTTTGTGCAAAATTACCTTAAACAACACAGGTTTAAAAAAAAAAAAAAAAAAAGCAAACAAACATATGCTTTCTATTGCTTAAGATCATTCTAATCTTGCAAATCTTTATACAGGTAGAAAGGCTGGAGGATGGCACACCGGGAAGACTAAAAGTGACAGCAAAGTGTACTGAGGGTCCAGAAATTTTTGAAGGGGAATATAACACTGTAAGCACTTCTGGATTTGAAATAACTAAATATTACAGTGCTGTGAAAATGCATTGAAGTACTTTAGAATCTGTTCAGGATAAGGCAAAGAGAAGTCTGTCCTGGCAAATAATTCAAGTAGCTTCCTGGCAGGGGGGGAAAAAAAAAAAAAGGAATTGAATAATCATCTCCAGTTGCACCTTATCAGCAAAAGAGGTGAAACTTAAATGTGTGGAATTCAGTCTTTGTGCACATTGTTGTTCTGTTTTGTTCTGTAGCTAATGTTGCATTTCTGAAATAAGCTGCATGTGAGGGAGGCTGGACTGGTGACTCCTCTTCATACAATTTTTTTGAGAAGTCACTTCAATTATGAATGCTTTAAAGCTGTTTCAGAGGAAAGTAAAACCTAATCAGCTTTACACTTCTTTAAAGTTACTGTATGTAATTCTTTTAGGTTTTGTTAGCCATTGGTCGGGATGCATGTACCAGAAATATTGGCTTACAGACAATTGGTGTCAAAATCAATGAGAAGTAAGTATTGCTCAGCTCCTATAAGCCACTGATTTATTTTAACTTCTTTTTAATAATATCTAATGATACTGACACTTTTTGTTAATTTTTTTTTTTTTTTTTTTTTTTTTTTTTTAAGCCAAGCAATTATATGAATCTTTGACATCTTATCTGTCCTGGATTTGAGTACAATTTCTCAAACTTCATTTCCGTAAAAGAACTATTCTAGTACCTATTTGTTGGCTGCTGCACTCCTGGAATGCACTTAATATTTACTTAATATGTTCAGAAACTACAGTCTAGTACTCTGTTAATTTCTGAGGGGAAGCCTGCTAAAAATAAAAATAAAACTTTTCATTTTTAAAGGTTTTAGTGTTCGCTTCAGCATTTCTTGATAGCTGTTCCACATATGTGAGCTTAAGCTGTAGATCTACAGGAATCTTAGTATATTTGTGATGGTTTTTTCTTACTTTTTTTTTTGTAGTAGGCTTTTAAGTCTTCAAGTAATGCTGTAGTCCTGGATCTTATTTGGCAAGTCAGTCTGAGGATTTAAAGAAGTAAACTTCACACTCCCTTACAGATTTTGATTTCTCCCTAGAGTCAGTTGCAAAACGTGGTACAAAGGAAGAGGCAGGATTATGTAGATCAGAGAGAGAAGAATTCATCATCTTGCAGCAGCTAGAAATTTATTAAACAAGCTTATTATAGAATCATAGAATCACCAAGGTTGGAAAAGACCTAAAAGATCATCCAGTCCAACCATTCACCTATTCCCAATAGCTCCCACTAAAGCTCCTACCTATTCAGGCTCTTGGTGGTGCATAGCGCTAGGACAAGGCGTAGTGGCCTAAAACTTGAACATAGGAAGTTGTGTACTAACATGTGGAAGAACTCCTTCATGGTAAGGATGACAGAGCACTGGAACAGGCTGTCCAGGGAGGCTGTGCAGTCTCCTTCAATGGAGATATTCAATACCCAAGTGGATGTCTACCTGTACAACCTACTGTAGGGAACCCGCTCTAGCAGGGGGTTTGAACTGTGATCTCTTGAGGTCCCTTGCATTGTAATTCTGTGATTTAAACATGTGAGTGATGCAGCTTTTTTTTTTTTTTTTTGTGATCTGTATGGTATTCAAGTAAAAAATCAAATGTCCAAAGATTTCTGAGCAGCTTAGTTGTCATCAGATTTGTGTTGAAAACTGACTTCAACAGTGTAGAAGCTTTGAAGAGCTTGCAAATGAAGTGGAAAAGATGTGTACTTATTTTAAGTACTAAGCATGTTTTCTGAACATCTTTGTTGCAGAACATCTCCCCCTTATTAGTTTTTGGAGGCTTCTGAGGAAGGTTGTGATATTGAACTCTGTTCTGTTTTCTGTTGTTTTGTTTTGTTTTAAAAAGGAATGGGAAGGTACCAGTAAATGATGAAGAACAAACCAATGTGCCTTATGTTTATGCTATTGGGGATATCTTGGATGGAAAGCTTGAACTTACTCCTGTTGCCATTCAGGCAGGGAAACTCCTGGCCCGCAGGCTCTATGGTGGTAGTTCCACAAAGGTAAATCTGTAAGAAAACAATTTTAATTTCAATACTTTTTGCCTCAGACTTTCAGTAACATGGGTCAATTTGTCCGTGTGACTGTGGGGACTGCGAGCATTTGGTAAACAAAAGAAAAGGCTCATAAATTTTCTTATGGATTACTGATTGCACAGTCTAAATATATATTCTGCATTTTCAGTGTGACTATGTCAACGTACCAACGACAGTGTTTACTCCTTTAGAGTATGGCAGCTGTGGGCTAGCTGAAGAGAAAGCCATAGAACAATATGGAGAGCAAAATTTGGAGGTGAGAGCACTCAATATTTGATTATCCTGGAGCTTGATGTTTTTTGTCTGTAGAGGTTACCTCAATGGGCCTTTGATCATGAAAGTGTTGTCATAAGATGAAGTTACTGGACTCCTAGAAATTCACAACTGGACTCGATAACAGTAGAGTTGTGCATAGCAGTTTGCATGCTGCTGAGAAGTGTTTGATTTCAGGAGGCCAAAATCAGGTTGCAAAGCTGTGGGTAGTTTTTTCTCTTGTAAGAATGTAAGTACTGTTACTGCTGAAGTCTACCAGACTCTTGGGACTGCCAATTCTGTATATGTTCTCTATACCTAAATTGGGTATAAACTTCTCCTGATCTTTTTCTTAGACTTCAGGAGAGTTGGCTGTAATTTGTTTTACCCTGATTTCTGGCTTCAATGATCCCTTGAAGACAGTTCTCTTATGTCCTTCAAGTACACTTTGTTATTTAGCATCTGTTTTAATTGCTTTGCACAGTAGGGTTAAGTATAGAGAAACTAGATATTAAATTTATGCTAATTTAAAAACTTTTCTCTCTGCAATTTAAATCATAAGCTGTAGCTGTATTAAATTGAGTGTTGAAGTTAGAGCATGTGTTTTTAACCAAGCGTTCCTCTAACTTTTGGAAGATGGACTGGGTGAGAGTGGGGGTGGTGGGGAGAGAGAAGAAAACGCTGTATTATAACAAATAAAATGTAGTGGGTTAAATGTCAAATCACCTATCAGGTATGGTTTGAAAAAATAAACATTGATTGAATTCATCAGACAATTATGTTTCTGTCTTCCTCAGGTTTATCACAGTTTGTTCTGGCCACTTGAATGGACAGTACCAGGTAGAGATAACAATACTTGTTATGCAAAGATTATCTGCAATAAACTTGACAGTGTAAGTAGCAAGCCAAAGTGTGTGTGTTCAGTGTATTCATAATTTGTTTGGACCAGTCAGACGTTTAATATTTTATCTGTCTTGACTTAGGCCAGCTCTATCTGTTAATGTAAGCATAGTTTTAATAGATTTAATCGCTTCAGAAAGATTGTTTGATGTGTGTTGTGTGGGTTTTCTTGTAACAGCTGTTTCAGCAAATGATAGTTTATGGATTATGAAATTTCATCCTGAATTTAAGGATGAATTCATTGAAGAAATTCTCCAGCATTTTTCTTCAGGTTTTGAATTGCTGTACTATTTACAGTCCTGGTTTAGGCTTCTGGACTTTTGTGGGGTTGGGTTTTTTTTTTTTGCCGTGTGCTTTTTGCAGTGTTCAAATGTTTGTGTGTTTAGCAGAAACCTGTAAAACATCTTGATCCTAGAACCTCAGTGATAAGAATTTCTGGTGGTTGGTGGGATTTCTTGCAAAAAAACCCACCTCTGTGGGAAAACCTGTCTGATACAAAAACTTTGTTTAAAATGACTTTGGAGAGAAGGAATTACATGATTAAATAGCTTATTTCCTCTTATCTTAGCCATACTTACTCTTCCTTATTAACCTACTTACGCCTTTCTCAAAGGCTGCGTTTACTGAAGGCAAAAACTGCCAAATGAAAACCCTGGAGGGGAGACCTGCCTTACAGAACCTTCTTTTTTCTAGTATGGTGGTGGTGGAAATGTAAATAAAGAATTTGTTGTTTCTTGCAAATTATGGTCAGACCTGTACTAGAGCTGCTCTGGCGTTGTGGAACACTTTGGGAAAATGTTTTAAGCCAAATTTTGTATTTCTCTCAGTAAATCAATTAATTCAGCAAACTGAAACAGGCGACAGTAATTTTAATCTCATTTTTGTAGGCTCCAGCCACAACTGTAGATCTGTAGATCTGTAGATCTTGCTACAGAGACAACTTGCTCAAAATACAAACCTACTATGTTTTGAAGGAAATTCTTAATAGTTTGGGGGAAGGAGAGAACAGCCAGTGAAGCTGTTCAGTATCAGATGTTTTAAGGCAACATAAGCAGCTCCTTCATGTGAATTGATTATAGAAAAAAAATTTAGATCTGAACATACTGCTTACCTACAAAATAATAGATTATAATTTTGTCAACTGCAGTTGTTTAGTTTTAATATCTTTGAGTCTTTTGAGTGCTGTTCAAGAATTATAAAACTCATGTTAAAGCTTGTTTTCTTCTGATACAATGGCATGGAAGGCTGAAATAAGCCATAGAACTATCTTCAGAGTGGCTTGTGGGTTTCTTCTTCCCCTCCCAAGACCATGCTGTTGACCTGCTGGCATAGCATATACATTTAGGTGTAGGAGTTTATGTGCTGAAGCTGTGTTAAATGTTACCTACTTCACTAATTCTTGTTTTCTTCTCACCTCAAAGAACCGTGTGGTGGGATTTCATGTTCTTGGACCTAATGCTGGTGAAGTTACCCAAGGTTTTGCAGCTGCAATAAAATGTGGTCTCACCAAAGAACTCCTTGATGAAACAATTGGTATCCATCCGACTTGTGCAGAGGTAAGGGCCAAAAGAGCTTTATTTCAAACCTACTTGTGAAGATGGTTACTTAGATGCAAGAAATGAATACTGAAGTGCATTTTATACTAAGTGTTGTTTAGTATTTGCTTAACTTCTGACTACAAGATGTTGAGATGTGATAGGCGTCAATTGTGCGCTGCAACTTTTTCCACTGTAGCAATTTGAGGAACTCTAGTATTGTTATTTCACAAGAAGAGCCTGATAGCCATGTGGATTATGATACAGAGCAATAGTAAATAAGCAATTGTTTTGGTATCTTGCAGGTGTTCACTACAATGGATATTACAAAATCTTCAGGACAAGACATCACTCAACGGGGCTGCTGAGGTTAAACCTGCTGTCTTTCTTGTTTTCATACTGTTCACACTTAGTTCTGTGGAAGTCCTTTACGTCGAACTGTTGTGGGATAAAATAGACATTTGCATCAGTACCACTGTATGTAGTGCAGTGGGGAGTGGTGCAGTAAGGCTTCCTCACTAAATAGTGTTGCAGTGGAAACAGTAATACGGCAGGAAAATCTTGAACAGAAAATCCTGATTTTGCTTGGAATCAGCACTAACGTGCTTTTTTGACGTTCTGGCTCAAAACCTTACTGTGAGGTGAGCTGTAACTGATGGCTGCCATGCAAGGTTGGGAGATATTTTCATCCAGTCAGATGACTGAACTTCTCCTGAAGGAAATCCTCAAGTTGCACAAATTAAAGCTGACACTTCTAAGCTCCAGAGTCTTGTCTAAATGCCTGAAGTAGAAGACAAATATATAACTGAATGAATCTTACCAGCAGTTTAAAGTTATCTAATTTCATTGATGCATCTTGTTTTATTTAACTGTGTGTCTAGTTGAGGCAAGATGGGCACAAATTGGATGCAGTGGATGAACAGTGCAGTTAAAGTACTACTATCGCCCTTCAACCAGTCTAAAACTTCAAAACCTTGAAGATGTTGTTGCTGTTACATTTGTAGTTTGACCTCAGGTGGCATTATGTCTTTAAGATGAGAAATTGAATTGTAGGAATTCTGTGTGTCAGGGTTGAAGAGCATAAGTGCAGGACCTTGTCAATTCTCTCTTGCTATTTATGGCTGTACTTAGTGCTAACAGTCTCAAATCTAGCTTCAGCTCTAGTGTAAAACATCACAGAACCCAGAAATGTTACATCTGTATTTTTCTGTGCAGTATTGAAATTTGAAAGAGAAGAATCTCAGAATAATCTGCCCTGTTAATATAGTAAATGCCTGTCCATGATGGTAACGTGTATTGCGTAGAATGTCTCTTTGGAGCATGTGTTGCAGCAGAGAACAGTGACTTGGTATGCTGTCATACTTTGTGTAGTGTTGTGTACAGTCATTACTCCGAAGTTTTCTTCCATCCCAGCCTTCTGCTCTGGGGGAATTATGCTTGAATTTGGCTATTAGTTTTGTTCAAAGAGATGCTTTGAAAGACTGTTTTGAACACTGTATTATATTAAACAATTTTTAACTATTTAATCTGATGTAATATGGCATTTGAAGTTCAATAAATAGCACAACATTTTGTTGTCTGACCTCATGATTTGCATTAATGCATACACAATAAGTCTTATTTGTGCTGGAATTACATATTTTCATATGCAGTACTAATGCTTCCATGGATTTGTGCGTTCTGTGATCTCTTCAACAGAGAAGGAAATTCTCTTGTCAAGTCTGGGGGCTTGCTCCAGAAATCTAACATGTTTATACTTCTGTGTGTGGATTTTGCTGTTCAAGCTGAGAGGGCAAATTTATATCAGTCTGTATAATCCAGAATGTTTTGCATATATGCATGTTAGTCTTTTGTTACCACAGCTTGCAGGTATTCTGTTTAGTAACGTCAAGGTTTTGGGGTTTTGCTATGGATGCCTAGCAGTACTCCACAGTACTTTCACTGAGGACGCTTGCTGAACTTTTGCTGTTGCTGTGCTGCAGAACTCGGGGAGCTGCTTGTTCCTTTGCTAGAGCCAGTTTGCTGTCTTCTGCAGCATTCTTGTGTGTCTGAAAGTTTTCTTAATAGATCAAATGTTGTAGTTTGAAATAAAATAGGCATAATAATGTAGAGGTGACTAAAAACTCTAAGCTGAAGTGGGTGAACTGGAGGTTCGTCTGAGCTGTTTAAAAAGTGAGTAGAGATTAGGATGAACTACAACAGGTAATACTTTGTGGACTTTGCACAATATGAGTAGCTGAGATGGAACTTGGGAAACTATAAGTCAGTCAGATGGGTTTGTGCTGTAAGAAACTGACTTGCAATGACAAAGTTTGAGTAGGGTAGCCATATTATACTATATATTCCTGGAAAAGGAAACAAACTTTAAGGCAAAGAATAATGTCTTCCTGGAATTATTATTAGGTAAACAGGCACTAATTGAATTTGATTTCCTACTTTGATTTGATTAGCAGGTTCAGATTAATTGATTGATAATTACCACTTGGGTATCTGTAACATTATACTAATTGTGGATGTTCCTTATGTCAAGGACTTGCCTGGGCTGTCAGTGATTTTTAAATACTTTTCACACATTGAGACCTTTGTGCAGTTAGTCTCTTAAGCTTAAAACTCTCCAGTTGTTGTAATATACAAAATTTATCTAACTCTACAGAAGCAGTATTTGAAGTGAAGCAAGCTGCTTCGTGGTGAACGTGCTTATGTTTCAGTAGGGTGGTGTGTAAATTCAAAGGTGCTGTGACAAGACATGTGGGTAAAAGCCAAGATGTTATGCTTGACAGCAGATGTTAGAATCTGAGAAGTAAAAATCTAACCAAGCTGAACACTCTTGAATGTAGAGGTTTTCTCACTTGTTTTGGTTTGATTGCAACAGAGTTAAATAAGTAGAACAGCTTCCTGCTTCAGTTGTTTCTAAAGTATCTCTTCAAGAAATCTACTTCTGGAGAGGAACTCTATCATAAATGCTCAAGTGCAGCTTTCTCAAGTATTAGAGCTTTGCATTACATTCTCAAAATGCTCTTTTGCCTGGCACTATTCAAACCAAAAAGTAAATTGTAGGCCCAGTATTAATGACCGAGTGTGGGGAGAATTCCCTGGTGTAGTTCTGAAGAGCCTGTGAGACAGCTCATGCCTCTTTCGTTATGTTGCAATTTCTGTAGTTTCTGCTGGTCTGCCCTCTGACAAGAGGCTTAAGGGGAATTATGTACATTCTAGTGCAATGAAGTGTAACAGCCAGGTTGTTAGCTTGGTAAAGTAATTGTGAGAATCTGACATTAGTTTACACAAGCTGATTAAATGGTTCTCAGTAGGCCAAGTAACTGCAGGTAGTAAGCACTAGCACTCTGTATATGTTTGCTTTAGTGACAACAGTAGCCACTGAAAACTACAGGAGAGCCTTTGATGTTATAGGTAGCATTTAAATGAATGTTTGCCTGTGTTTGTACTCAGCATTCTAACCTGTTTTGATGGATACATAGCAGTTGCCCTTCTAACTGGGATTACAATGCTTTGAAACTCTTTTTCCCTGGCCAATGAGGAAGCAGATGCCTTGTTCTGCAACTCATTTGCTCTGAATCGTTTATAAGTTTCGCTAGTACAGACATTTGGGCAGTGACATCAAAGGCAACGTGGTATGTTTATGTTTCTGTTGTCATAAACGTTCACCAAATTCTAAAGAGGTGTTCTGTGTCCTTAAAGCACTGATAACATTTTAAAGACTGCAGTTGAGAGTATTCAGTTGCTTACAGCATCTGCTGTTAGCTGAAGTAATGGTTCGTCTGGGTCACTGGTAATTATGGTATTCCGTATCTGGACTCTAGTTCTTGCAGCAGTGAACAAACAGCAAAGCTATGTGCTTTTTGACTTATTGGTGACATTTATCCTTTCCAGGGCTAGGAGTGGTTATGATTATAGTTATGAAAACATGAAAAACACTTAATCATCAAGTTGGTGGATGGCTTTCCACAGAGCATGAATTTTAATTATATTTTGAGCGTTGTAACTGGTCTTAAGTAACTCAAGCAGATATTTGGTCTGAGCAGAAATTGTGGGGGCAAGTTGTCAGAGGCAAAAGAAGGAGCTGAATATTCTGCAATAAGCCTTGAAAAGCCAGAATAAGGAAAGAATTATTTTTCTTCCTGACTACTATGTAAGGCTTCAGATTCTCATTGCTCCCTTTGGAGTACCTTTGGACAAAGACTTGAGGTGCTTGCTTTGATTCAACATATCTCAAATATTGAAGGGAAAAACAATTGGAAATGTGAAACATAATGGGTTGGTTTTTGTTTGTTTGTTTGTTTTCTTTTGGCTGTGTATTGGAGTTCCTATGTGTTTAAACCTTGTCAAATCTCCCTGGAATACTGGCAGGAAAAAAATTCCTGGATGTACCTTAGGAGTTAGGAATGGCAGAGGAAGAAAAGGTCAAGTATTTTAATTAAAAATAAACAGTGGATCTAATGAAGCAAACAGCTTTTTTTGTGGGTATGCAGTACTATATAATCTATTCTCAAGGTTGTAATTCAAGTAAATGAGAGGCAGTTTAGGAACTCCTTAAATGACCTTTTTTAATTGACAGTACACTGAAAAGAGTCTAATCCCAGACATCTTCACCTCCATTAAGGTATATGAGCTCACGGTTCAGAGATGACTTGCTCAATTTCCAGTGCTGCATCTAAAAATAGCAACCATCCTTTAAGATAATTTCTTTGCATGGCAAAAACAGGAGCAATCCTGTGCTCAGAAGTGTTATAATGACAAGATGCTTGGGAGGCACCACTGATTGCTTGTTAGCTGGAAGGCGGGATGGCAAATACTGTTTATTTTGCAGAGCCTATGTGACTGCTCTGTTGGTTACTTGTGCTTCCTTTTGGACCATCAAATTTGACAATCATTTGTGTGTGCATTGAAGGGAGAAAAGATCAGATTACCAAAACAAGCTGCAGATGTACCTGGAGCAGATGTATTTGGGTAGGAAAGAAAAGAATGTCTCATACCTAGAGATTCAACTCTAGCAGGGATAATTTTTGTTTGAACTGTAGTATTTTCAGTTAGACCGTCTTTGACTAACTTTCTACTCTGCTTGCAGTATGAACATGATTGTTTAAAAAAAAAAATAAAATAAAAAAATAAACTTACAAGTGTACCTTCTGTTTTGAAACAGAAAAGGATCTCTTGGGAGAAGTAGAGGTGGAATGAAACTTCTGGAAGATCTCATTTTTAACAAACCAGATTTGTAATCAGCAGTTTTATGCCTTTGTCCATCAAAAAGACAAAAAAGCTATTTCTGTGCTAACTTTATAAAAATGATTGAATACTGTTTCTTATTTTTTTCTGAAGGAGGACGAAGTAGGAGGTTTCGTATATTTGCAATTTTCAATAAGGAGTAAGAGACAAATTTGTTGTCTCTTTTCCCCCCTATACCATACTAACAGTCCCCAGCTTGTGATTGATATGACCTGTTTCTGCTGATTGGAGTAGGGTGCCTGCAAATGGTAAGTATGTGTGAATTAAACATAAAAGTTACGTTCACAGTTTGTGAGTCCAAGAGTTTCTAGGCAAGAAACTCCATTTAAGTAACATTTATTTTTGTTGCTGTTTGCTCTTAACTAAAGCTGAGTTGTGGGTAGAAGCAAGAAGGTGCTGAAACATGCCAGCCTTGTAAGAAATGTGATTCCTGGATACCTGGCACAGATACCTGGCTTTATGTAATCTTCCTTCTGACTTGCTCTGACTTGGGCTTGCATAGCTTGTGGGCGAAAGGTGATTTAGAGCACTGATGGGGTCTGAGCTACTGCTGGTGGTAACTGAGTGGAAGTCATGTGCCAGTGGAATGCATTGGCAGGAAGGGAAGGCAAAGGGCAGAAGAGGAAGAAACTGGGGAATAGGTGAGGGGAAGAAAGGAAGGTTTGGTTTTGTGTGGGATTTTTCATCAGTCTCAGTAAAACCTTATGCTGAGGCTAAGATGGCAAAGTTTGTTGCCAGCTGGTGCATCTGCTCCATCCATTCCATCTCTTTTTGGGTATACATAGTAAGCAAGTGGACTGGGAAACAAAGATTTTATTGTGTACTCCATTATTCCATAGGCAGAACTTCCTTCAATCTGTCCAGACGAATTTGTCTACCATGTAAAATATGAGGCTCTTGCAGTGTCTATCCCCAAAATGTGTCCATACTTAACCTGGAACAAGCACCTCCAAAACTGCCCCGATTTTCATTTCTCTGTCACTTTCCATATTTTCAGTTACAGCTGTCATCTCCTCACTGTATTTCTATTACTCTTGAAACATTTTTTTTTATCTTTGACAATCCCTGCCCTCCTCTTGGCTATGGAACAAGTTTTTAGAAGTATTGTTCCTCTGGAAGATGATTAAAAGTGCTCTTTGATTGCCAGATCAATGTGTCCACAAAATCCCACATCTTGCAGAGCCAGGGAGGTGGAGAAGAAACTTTGGGAAACAAGCCAACTGCCTCCCACGTTGGATGAAGCATGGTGGAACCACACCCTTCCCTTCAAGCTTCTTTGGTAAAGGAGTTGAGTTGCTAAATTAAGAAGCCTAGGAGTCTGCTATTGAGACACTGCATGCA